GAACTTCCCTTGGATGCTGCATGTGCTGCTCAGCCCAATGCACTGAGCAAAGCGTTGATAATCTTGTGCCTGAAATCCCGTTATCCAAATAGGATTGTCTCCTGCTGGTGACAGTGGGGTTTAACGGGGAGCTCTTTGCTCTCCTGTTTGTAATCCAGCAGTTTGGGGTGCTCAGACTGGCGTTCCCTAGGTGCAAATAAGCTCTGAGCTCGGTGGTTGGTGGGTTCTGTAGTGGATGCTGTGTTTTGTGCCAAGTGATCTTGTGTGAGGGCAGAGCCCCGTGGATGTGACGTTCTGCTCTCACCTTGGCTTTAGGCAGCTTTTCCAGTGCAGGGGGATGTGAGCACTGTCCCTTTACAAGTCACCTAAAGGGGCTCCAGGAAACCTGAAGAGGGGATTTGGACAAGGACCTGTAGACACAGGACAAGGGGAATGGCTTGAAACCGCCAGCGGGGAGACTGAGATGAGCTCTGAGGCAGAAGCTCTTCCCTGTGAGGGTGCTGAGGCGCTGGCACAGGGTGCCCAGAGAAGCTATGGCTGCCCCATCCCTGGCAGCGTTCAAGGCCAGGTTGGACCCAGGGTCTTGGAGCAACCTGCTCTAGTGGAAGGTGTCCCTGCCTGTGGCAGGGGTTGGAGCTGGAGGAGCTTCAAGGTCCCTTCCAACACAAACACGGTGTAACATTTTGCTAACAAGTCTCAGCAGATCCTGGCAGGAGCTTGGTTCACCTCCTTTTGCTGCTGGGGAACCTCATGGGAGGCCACCCCGATGCCCAGGAGAAGAGCAAGGTGTTCATGTCAGCGCAGCGGAGCATCCTTAGGTCCAAAGCTGGCATGGAGCTTTCGCTGTGAGCACTCACCAGGACTCTCTGGTGCTGGTGGCTGTCTCTTACGGGCTGTTTCTCCCCTCCTCAGGTGAGCCACCACCCCCCTGCCGCCGCCCATCACGTCTACTCCAGGCGAGGATGGACGTTGTGGCAGGAAATCACCATCGCCAGCAAGTTCAGGGGCAAATACCTCTCCATCATGCCACTGGGTAGGTGACACGCGAAGGGTTGGGGCTTGCTTTTATTCCTGCACTGCTCATGCAATACCCAGAGGTTGAAGCAGCGTAATGGTCCCTTGGGCTCACACAAGACTCAGTGAATTCCACCCCGGAAGCAGGGATTGGTGCTCCTGATGACAGACAACCTGGTGCTAACTCATCCCCCCTAGAAATGGATATATCAGCTGCAAAGGCGCTGTGTTGCTTGCTGCTGGCGCCATAGCAGAGGTGCTTTGGAAATATCCTGCTTTCCCATGAATTGTTTTCTCCTGAAGTGATACTTACTGGTTGTTTTACTGCCTGGTTTAACCCCCTTCCCGGCAGCCAGATGCAATAAGCTGCCTCCTTCCAGTGTTCTCTTTTGTCTTCTGCCTGTCCCTGGGCTGAGCAACAAGTGGTTTTGACACTGAGAGTCGACCAGGGAGCACCTTTCTTACCTGCTTTTGAAATGGGTGGGTTTGGAATGTTGGGAAGAGAGCAGAGGCCATGCTGCTCCCTGCCTGCAGCAGAACATGGAGCATGCAGCAAGGGGAGGGATGAATCCAGCCTCAGCCCTGGCAGGGGGCTGATGATGGGAGATGCAGGTAGAGGGGCTGGGTTGGCCCTGAGGACCAGCATGGGGCTGGGGCGGTGCCCACATCCCTGCCTTCTCTCTGCAGGAGCCATCCACCTCGAGTTCCACTCCAGTGGGAATCACTATGTGTGGAGGAAAGTCACCTCCACCGTTCACAACATCATCGTGGGCAAGCTCTGGATTGACCAGGTTGGTGCCTGTGGGTCTGAGGTGATGGGTCCTGCCTGGCCTCGCCTGGCTCTGGCTCTGGGCAGGGGGGCTGGAAGGACACTGCCCTCCTGGGATGTCCCCACCATACTCCTGCCACAATAGGAAGCTGTGCTTCCCTGCAGGGATGGGGCAAAGCTTCCTGGAGCAACTCATGGCTCTTCCCAAGGCCAGCAGCTCCGTGGGGCAGGGTTGGTGGTGGGTTTGACCCCATGGGGGCTGGCTG